CCTCATTCTTCAGTGAAGATGTCAGCTCCTCACATCCGCCAATCCTCAAATCAGCAACCTTCCTTAATCCTTTGGTGAATTCCCCTGTTTGCAACCTCACCTCTGAAATATTTGAAAGTTTCAAGGAATTTAATAACTCAAACTCAACCCCACTCGTCTTCACCACCGCTTTGCAACCGTGGATGTATAGTACACCAATTTGTTTATAGTTGGAAATTGAAATCACCAATTCCTCGCATTCAGCAATTGTAAGTTTGGCTAATGAATCAAGGTTCTCGGGCACCTTACCCTCCAATTGAGGACAATTCGTGATTGAAAGAAACTTCAAGCAAGGAAAAACCTGATCTTGTGTGAAAGGAAGCCATTTCTTCCAGTTGTGCATCTCTGAAAACCAAAGATCCTCAAGCATGGGAAAAGGCAAGCTACTCTCTCCATAAAACTCAGGACCAACACTTTCCACTGCAGTCATTCCTATAATATAAAGCCTTTTGAGTGAAGGCAACTGTCCAAGTGGTGGCAAGATTTTACAGTTCTGACATTTTTTTAAGCTTACTTGAACCATAGTAGAGAATAAACGATCTCCAATCCATGCTGAAAACTTTAGTCCAGCATAACCCTTGATGTCCAGAAATTTGAGCATTCTATGAGGTTCTAATCTGTCAAGCACACCTAATTCTGTTTCTTGTGTGTTATCCGACCATTCTAGCACCAATTCATCTACAATCTCCTTGGATTTTAAGTCGGCCTTCCTTGCATCCTTAGCATCGATCACATTCTCTAATCTTGAGAGCCGCAATGTCCCTCGGAGATGGAATAGGGACCCTATCTCTCTTATACCCCACCACAAAATTAGGCAAAGATTGTAGATTCGTCAATCGACCTAGTTGGGGAGGCATTGCTTTTAGTGAACCTACATTTGAATTGTTGAGATGACGCAGATTCACTAGATTCCTCAAGTTTATGGGTAGCGCCTTCAAATATTCACAACCTTGCAATATCAATGTCTGTAAGTTGTAAAGAGTGGTCGTTGATTCTGGCAAACTCCTTATCTCTGTGCGAGAAAGATCAAGATACCGCAGATACTTCAATTTACCAATTGAATTTGGCAGCTCAGTTACTTGATAGCCATTGAAAGAAAGCACCCTCAAGTATTGCAATTTTGGCAATAAATCAAAAGTAACCTTACGACTTAGATAATTTGAAGGATAATCAACTGAAAGTGGTAGGAAGGTGCGCAAATGTTTCACTTCAGAAAATGCCTCAAATCTTTGAACCATGTCATACTTACCAGAAATGTAGGACGCATGGCGGGCCTTCGTAAAACATCCAAGCTGTACATGATCGCTATTCTGCTTATCCTCCAATCTAAAACAAATATCTCCTGCTGCCCACTGTGCCAAACCAACAACGAGGTCATGCATTACATATTTTGAATTGTTTTGGCTTGATTTCTGAAATAATGACCTCGATAAGAGCTCCTGAAAATAGTCAGCTCCTAAATCTTCCATTTGCTTATTATGTTCTGGTTGTGGTTGAATCAAACCCTCTGCCATCCACAGAAGAATCAATTGCTGCTCACCAGCCAAAGGCAATCCACTGCATCTTGCAATAATTTTCTCCTTCAGTGACTCGAAATTTGGTGGTATATCTCTGTTAACATTCCTGAATGCATGCTGCTCAAATACTTGAAAACAAACGTCATTTGACATAGGCTCCAAATTATGAACTAGAGTGCCAGCTCCCATCATTTTTGAAACTTCTGCATCACGCGTTGTCACAATTATCTTGCTTCCTGCTGCTCCATCGCAAAAGGGGGACTGCAGTTTCATCCATAGACCATAGCTACATGTGCCCCAAACATCATCCAAAACAATTAAAAACTTCTTCCC